AGAATGCGGTTACCTTCTCACCAAGGTGGTACCTATTTATCTACTCGCATTTTTACGTGCTTTAGAACTGCTAGGTTGGCAGGAGCTGGGACAAACGACGGGAGCTCACTCCATCAGGTAGATTCGATCTTATGACTGCTTGGTCTTCTGACCTTGCAGCAAAGAGGCTTCTGCGGTTTAACCCGCAGCACCACCACATCCCCTCACACTGCCATACCTAGCAGCTATACTCTTTTTCTGGAATAATTCCTCTTTGTTACTTTCATAATTTATGTGACTTTATATTTGGAAGTGTTTGGAGACTGAAAAGGACATGTTCATAATATGTAGGCTGCAATCTTAAACCTACTTCATAGGAATTGAGTCCCACAGTGAAGCTTTCATGAATAATTGTGTGGACGTTTACTGCTAATGTTGTGAAAATTTAAACATTGATACTATCATTTCAGTTCTTGTAATAAAAGACTTGCCTGTATTGTTGTCTGTTCATTATGAACATTTTGCACTTGTTGACATAAAATATTTATTTTCCTGAAAATATGTTGTCAGACACTATGAGACTTCTTTCATGATGTTGGGGGAAAGAAAAGGCACTAAAATGGGATTAATGTTATAATGTATCATCCATCTTAGAAAGAATTGTGTTCTGCATTAATTACAAACTTCTCCAGTAGTTCTGTTGTACTTTAAGGGTAATAGGGGTATAAGCCTTGCCATAGTTGTGTGGTAAATTCCCTGTTTCCAGCTTGTACTGACCAGTTGCCAAAGAATGGGAGAAGAGTAGAGATTTCTGCAGGTGGAAGCAGTTCTGTCTAAACCACTGATAATATTTCAAGCTTCAAATACTTGGAAGATTTTATTACATTCAGATTGCAGTCTTTAACATACTTCTTAGAAATTAGACCTCATGACAATAGAATAGGGATTGCAATTCCTTTTAAGAATACATCCATGTTTAAGACATGATGGGAACTTTGGGGTGAATTAATTTTCATTACATCCATATAAACAGTGTAGGCTGATGACTTGGGATTGGTGAATCCACACCAGGTTTAGGTCTGAATATTAAAAGAGTTCTCCAAAATGAAACCAGTTGCATTGTGCCGAGAAAGTTTGGACTAAAATCTGGAGAAGATTCACTGCCCCTGTGATGTCAGAGAAGCCGGCCTCTACTGCATAAAAGTCTTTGCTTTCCCCCTTTTTAATTTAGGGAATTATCTGTTCTTGTTGCCACAAGAGCTTCTTTGACATACTGATATTTTAGAATATATGATTTTTAAACATTGCTGTTCAAGTTAATGTCAAATACATTTTCTAAAAATATAAGTGGGTATTTAACAGCCTTTTCATCTCTAGGAGTTACTCTGTTTTGCGTATCTTTTTACAATACATTTTTATCCATATAAAGATAAGTATTTTCTTACCACTGAATTAGTCCTATTGGTCAGAGAACCAAAGAATGAGAAGTAACAGTTAAGCCCTAATAAAGTGGACATTTTCCAACATCAGCTCTACAATGATTTTTTTATTCACCAGTATGGATTTTCTTTTGCTATTTTGAAATGTTTCTGCTTTTGTCACTGGCACTTTTCAAGCCTTGCTGCTATAATTTTGGGATTAAATGGGACAAAATAATCTTACACGTGGCTGCGAAAACTGTTTTTGGCTTTTTGCTCTAATATTGTCCAATTTTCAAGTCACTAAACCAAGTTCAAGCTTCCTTGAAATGAAGGAAGTTTGCTGTGGACCACTAATGAGAAGTGCAGCATCTTGTCTTCTATAATAGAAAGAAAAATGTGTTGATTTAGATGACTCTTTCTTCCATCCTGGTAGTTATCCAGTCTTCAAGATGATTAAAGTTGAATGTTAGATGGAATAAGACCTCCTGCTGAATTGGATGGAATAGCCTAAGTTCAGAGTGAGCAAGAAAAAGTGCAAGTGTGCTTTGGTCTTCCTTTGAATGCTGCAGTGCTATTTTTTTCCTACCAGTGAAACATCTGGTGTACTGCATGTTCACTGTAGCTATGAAAGTATATTAGAAAATGAAACCCATAGGATAAAATGGGAATACTGGCTGCATAAGGCAGAGAGTGGTTTTTTTATGACTTTGAGTAATGATGCTGTGTTGCTGTTACTGCCATAGACTTAATTTCAATCCATTTATATTATTTGCAAGTAAGGCCATAAATGACTGGAATTTTGAACAATGCTGTTGAAATTGCCAAGGAAATGTAGATAACCTTGAGGATTTAACTTGCATGTGCTGAAATTAAAATGACTTCATAATTAAATGAAAGTGTTCCATGATAGTTAAAGGCAATGGACCAAGAAGTTTCTTAATTATAAAAGTCCTTATACTTGCTGAAGTAACTCAAAATTCAAAGCAATTCATTAGCCTCTAAAATGCACAGTGTTTCTTCATGCTGATGAAATTACTTTGCAAGTTGGCATAGTATCAAACTGGGCAAAACTTGGCAGAAAATATGTTTGGTTTTATACATATGTTCCCAAGTTATAAAATCTGCAAATCTGTGGAGGAGTTGAAAGACTTTTCAGAGGTTCTTGCATTGTTTGAGTGTTTATATTGCAAGATTTCTCTTTAATGTAACAATTTAATAGCATATATTTTTGTGGTGCAAGCAGGTATATGCTACTCCTAAATAGATTATCCAAATTTATTAATAGATAAACAATACCAATTCAGTACTGTATATGTACAATAAGACATCAAAATGATAGAACATAATAAAGATGCAATAAAGACTAACTTTTTTTCTGAGATAGATTCTCATATTTATTTATCTGCACGTTTTCCTTTGTTAAATGAAGAATAATTAACTATGAAGAAGTGTATTGGTATTGCACAGGAAAGTGGGTTGAAAAATCATATTCTTTGTGAGGCACTTCATTATATATCATAACAATATAAGTGCAAGATATCAAAACGATTATTTGAAAACTTTTGCTTTTCTTTCTAAACCATTAATAACAGTTTTGATGTATTAAACTACAAGCGAGTTATAAGGTAACAGATGTGTAACATATGTGCCTGATTAAATAGAGTTTGATTTGCAACTCTGTGAAAAGCTGTAGTGAAAGGTTACCCATGGAGTTTTGGTTTTATGGATACTGCTGTACTGCATTGTTCTGCAGTATAATCCTGTGCAGGTTCACTCAGTAGTACAGTGGTGTCTCGCATTACGATGTTAACTCGTTCCAGCGAAATCGCTGTAGAATGAAAATGTCGTAATGTGAAAAGAAAAAACCCATTGAAACACATTAAAACCCGTTTAATGCATTCCAAAGGGCTGTAAACTCACCCTCCAGCAAAGATCCTCCGTAGGGCGGCCATTTTCGCTGCCTGTGCAGCAAGGAATCCGTCCCAGAAAATAGCAGGGGGCCATTTTGTTTACCCGGTGGCCATTTTGAAACCGCCGATCAGCTGGCCGAAAATCGGCGTTTTGCGAAGAATCGGTTCCCGAAGCAGGGAACCGATCATCGCAAAGCAAAATTCCCCCATAGGAAACATTGATCACAAAAAGTTCATCATAATGTGGTTTTGTCATTAAACGGGGCAGTCGGATATACCACTGTATATCCAATAAGTTCACTGGAATTTATTCTGGATAAATGGGCATAGGATTTCAGCCTTAATTGTCCTAATGTTTGATACCTGGAATTATGTAAATAAGAAACTAAGGAGTGTCTCTATAAATTTTAAAATGCATACTTTTATTTAGAAGACGGAGAACTGCTTTTTAGAAAGTGGTATGTTCCCATTACTCTTTCATGGCCAGAATCCAATTGCTGACTATGATTGTGTAAGTGACATGGCATGAGTTGTTGTGACAAATTCATGCTAGTAAACAATGTGCTGGTTGGATTCCTGGACACATGCTCAGGAATGCAACAAACACCTAATTAAGTAGCACTGATTTGTTGCTGCAAGTTATGTCATTTCACTTTCTGTAAACATCAATTGGCAATTGCCTTCTGGCCACAATGTTTAAAAACTGTCATTATTCATTGCATTGTTGGAAAGGTAACTCATACATTACCTGTCAATTTGCCTACAACTTTTTCACTGCAATGCGCTCTATGTGGGGCTGCCTTTGAGGCTGCTGCGGAAACTACAGGTGGTGCAGAATGCTGCGGCCAGACTTCTCAGTGGTGTGAAAAAATATCAACATATTTCACCCACTCTGGCTGCACTGCATTGGCTGCCCATCCGATTCCGCATCGACTTCAAAGTGTTAATGCTTACGTACAAAGCCCTAAACGGCTTGGGGCCTCGTTACTTGGCGGAACGCCTACTTCCACCTAGTTCTACCCGTGTCACTCGCGCGAGTCAGGAGGTGAGGCTGAGGAGCCTAACGCCGAGGGAGGCCCGGAAAGAAAAGACAAGAAATAGCGCCTTCTTGGCAGTGGCTCCTCGCCTCTGGAATAAACTTCCCCCTGACATTCGCGCGGCTCCCTCACTGGGTACTTTTAAAAATCAATTAAAAACACTGATGTTCCGGCAGGCCTTCCCCTCAGCCAATCCCTGATCTTTCCTATTTTGTTTTGGTTTTTTTCCCTCTCCTTATTTTCGCTTCACTTTTTCTAAGTTTTTCCCTTACTTAAAATTGTTTTAATTACATTGTATTATCTTTGCTGTAAGCCGCCTAGAGTGGCCTTAAGTGGCTAGATAGGCGGGATATAAATAAAATAAAATAAAATTAAATAAATAAATAAATAAATAAATAAATAAATAAATAAATAAATACCCTTTTAAAACCGTATAATTGATAAGAGAATGACACAAACCTTGAATTTTTTTTTTTTGCAAAATCACCCTTAAAGTAAAAAACCTTGTGTGCTGTCAAGTCACCCCCAATTTGTAGCAATCCCACAAATGAGTGATCTTCAAAACGTCCTATGTTCAACAGCCCTGCTCAGCTCTTGCAAACTCAAGCCTGTGGCTTCTCTTAGGGAGTAAATCCATCTTGTATTTGGTCTTTTTCCTTTCCTGTTGCCTTCAACCATTCCCAGCGTTATTGTCTTTTCCTGAGAATCATGACTCCTCATGATGTGCCTAATCTAGGACAGCCTCAGTGAAAGGTACAGTACTTTAACTTTTGAAAGTAAGTAGAAAGCTTACTTACACCAAAAGAGCAAATTAGGTCTTACCTTGACTTTTGAAATGTAACCATGTTGTATCCTTTCTACTCAAAAGAGTAGCTAGTTAGCTCAAAAAGTAACATTACTGTACTTCCAAGCTCTGGCTAGTTGAACGTAACTAATTAGAAATAATATCTGAAATTCAAGAAAAAAAGTAATACATATAAATCTGGTCCATTCCAATTTAAAATATGTTTCTCATACTGAAAAAAAAGTTTCTTTCTATTTTAGCCAACAAGAGTATGTTGAAATATACAGTGGTGCCTCGCTTAGCGATTGCTTCGTTTAACAAATTCACTTAACGATGTGTTTCTTGGAGGAATTTTCCGCATCGTTTAACGATGTTCTCTGTGGGGGATTTTCACTTAACGATGTCCAATTTCACTCATTTTTAAGTGTCTTAAAATGTTTGAAACCTGTTTTAAATGCTTGGAATCAGTAGTCCACCTTGTGAAACATGTGCAGACTTAATTTGGCTTTGTTCTGAGTATTCGTTAATTTTTGGTGATTTTTTTGTTTTCCCCATTTAAATCCATTGAACGGACAGAAACACATCGTTAAGTGAATTCTTCGTTAAACGAAGCAATCGCTAAGCGAGGCACCACTGTATTAGAAATGAGGTAAAATTAGTCTGGTTTGCCTTGTTTTCAGAAATCCATACTGAGAGTGATTGCAGCATTCTTTTCTAAGTCTTCAAAATGACCTGATGGCACAGAGTTATAATTATTCCATTTCTTATGCATGCCCCTTTCCAGTCTCAGCTGATCCATGCACTCCTAGTGCAGCTACACGTTTCTTTAGATGCTCCTCCCTTTCTTTCTCTTTGGAATTGTTTGCAGCTGTCCCTTTAATATCTCACCTTTAAGAAACTGCCAGACATAAATGAACTCCTTTGTCTTTTGACTATTTTTTGCCAAGGGATGTCACCCAGTATTTCTTTAAACTTCTTGAAATTAACTTTCCTATGTGTCTCACTACATACCCTTCCTCTCTATAATAAATCCCAAAAGGATTGCTGACCAGTTATGTTAGTGAGGATTAGGTCTTAAATAGAATATCCTTTCACATTCAGGAAAATTAAATTTTCAACAAGGCAAGTGGGGAATTTGTTTGACCTTATATTTGTGGAGGAGTTGGAAGCTTAAATATATCCAACTATTTTGATATTAAAGTGTATTTATTTTTTGAGATCATGCTGTTTGGTAAATTTATAGAATGGCATGTTCTGGTTTATATTTTCCTTGATTTACTTAGCACAGCAAATATTATATGTATATATTTTAAAAACATCTGTTTTCAGATGATGCATTGTAGTTTGAATGTTTCTTTTTGAGAGGTCTCTACTTTTATTTTATGAATAACACTAAATGGTTTTGTCCTTAACAGCAGGTTTTAATTAGGAACCTATAGTCCCCAGAACTGCACTTCTCTGATGGACACACAGAGCCTCATTTCACTATCAGATATAGGAATGTACCTTACACTTTTAAACATGCTTTTATCTTGTTATAGAGGGAAACTAAATCACTTCCATTTTCTTCTCCAAATTCAGACAGAAACATGCCTTTGGAATGACAATTACTGATTGCCAAACTGAAAGCCAGCGGCCCTTCTTCTGAATGTAGGGTAATGATGAATTGGCAAGAAGCCAGCAGTTCTGCCAGTGACTGTGCAAGCCTCCCTCCGGCAAAATGAATATTCCTTGATGAAAGGCTGGGAATATTCCTTTTATTTAGAATGGGGGAGAGAGGAAGGAGTTTGGATTCCGAACATTACAGAAAATCGGACAGTGATAAAAGCAGTAATTCGTATTATTCTGACGATGATTCATCTCATTCCTCTGACCATTTACCAACCATTAGCACCCAGTCTACAAATACTGGAGGAAAAAACAGTAAAACACAGCATTTGAAAAGCCTTGCACATTACCAAGGTAAGTAGTTCATGCACCATGATTCCTAACTTAAAATCCCCACCCCCAGCATCTTGTACATGAATGTATATTGATACAGTACTAGCATTCAGCCTGTATACTTTACAACCTACCTGTATTAAAAGAATGAGAACATTTTATTTTATATAAGGAGTGTTGTCACTCTGGAACCATTGTCTGTCTTGCAAATGGAAGCACGTGTACACTGGGATCAAATTATGTGTAATGGGATCTTCCACTTGAAGGGTATGTTTATGTGAGGGACAAGAGGGAAGGGAAAGAGAAGAGTGTCAACAGTGCTGCAGGGCAGCTTAAGCCATTCTCCTTGTATTGGTTTCCTGCCCTAGATTGTTCCTTCTCTTTTGTACCCCCACAAAGCTGCTGTTAGCCCCATGGGAGGAGAGAGATGGTCCAGAATATGTACTATCAGTTTAGTGGGCATGGGATGACTCCAGTAAATGGCATGGGAGAAAGGGGTCAACACCCCCTCCTTCAGCACAAGTGCAGTCCATGAATTTGTGTCTCTCCAGGGTTGATTTTAGGCTTTAAAAAGGATGCTGACAGATCCTATCACCTTTCTGTCTGATTTACTTAAGATACTGGGCTTTGCTGGATGGTTGACTACCTTTGGTGACCGGATGACTCAGAATAAGCTGCTGGTGAAAGAACTCTCTTACATTTGCAGCAAGGCTAGTATGTGGTGCAACATGGCATGTCTGCCACTGCGCTGTAATTATGTCTTCCCTGCTGCTGTGCTGTAACTACTGGAATGACTTATTTCTTGGCATCTAAAGCCTAAGACATTTTGAAGCAGACCCAAGGAAACTCAAGGATTGGAAGTTAATGAAATCATTTTTGCTTTCCTTTTCTCTAGAAATAGATCTAACAAGATGGGGTTATGGTTCAGAATTCAGGTGCTCATTTTTTTAATAAGAGAATATATGGTGCAAGAGTGGTGTTTGCTAAGGAAATGTAGGAGGTATCAGAATGGATACAATGCAACTGAGAATTACTCTGTGCTCTCTTTTCATTGGAACATAAACATTGTGTTTTTTTGTAGCCACCAAGCAGATTGCCTCAAAGTATGCACCCAGTAAAAGAGGGAGCCACTGGGGTTTTCGTTCCCAGAGTCTCAACAGGGATTCTCCTAGCCAAGATATCAGTCTAGTTACAAAACGAGTGCTTTCTGCCAGGCTGCTGAAAATTAAGGAGCTTCGAAATGAACTAACTGAACTGCACGTCAAACTTGATGAGCTGCAGAAAGAAAATGGGGTGCTCAAGCGACTGCAGTACAGACATGAGAAGGCTCTCCATAAGTTTGAAGACACTGAAAATGAAATCTCTAAACTCCTGGCACAGCATAATGATGAGATGCGGGTACTAAGGGAGCGCTTAAGAAAGTCTCAAGAAAAAGAGCAAACCACCGAGAGAAAGCTAAGGGCTTCGGAGGATGAGCTCTACAAGGTCAAAGGCAGCTTACAAAAACTGAGAAGGCTTGCTGAAGACCGACACCTCCCTGAACGTGATGAGCTGGCTAGGAAGCTAGCTTTGGCAGAAAGCAGACTGGATGACAGTGAAAAGAGAATAAAGGTGAGAAGGGAACATTGAAAATGCCCTCTTTTAATAGTGCACAATTTCTCACTGTGTTATACTATTATTAAATAAGTAATTACGAGTAGACAGCTACTGAGCACTTATAATGGGCCTGTGGCTATGTTAGCCTAGATATCAATCTAGGCTAACATAGCCTTATCCAAGCATGTGATGGAGTCTCTGATATCTGACTCCTGTTGCACGCAAGCAGACCGGGTGAGGGTAGGCAGCTTCCAGTGTTCACTTCTCTTGCATCCTCCTGCACGCCCTCTTCTTCAGAGGCAGATGACAGCCCAGTGCCTTCCCAGTCCTGCTTTTTTATTCTCTTTGATCCTTCCTCCTCCAGCTGTTTCTCCTCAGGGAACTTTCTCCTTCAGCTGCACTGGCCCAATCCTGCGAAAACTTACCCTCCTCTCAGTTGCCTGATACTTGTGTGCTGGGCCAGATGGCTTGCTAGAGATGTATGCCTGCACCCCTCACACTAAGCAACAGGATTTCAGCCACTGTGTTGGAAGCTGGAGTTCCATTTAGGAAAGGTGTGGCCATTGTCTGCTAATGGAGAAGGGGAGGCAGCTTTCCCTGTGCTTCCCAAAAATCTAATCTGGTGGGTCAGCAAAAATGGTAGTGCAGAGGGATGGGATATTGGCAAAAAACACTTCTTTTTCTTCAGGCCTCTCCACTTTATGAGATCCTCTTTCATTCCTGGATGTTCTTCATGGCACAGAAGGACATCTCTGGATCCAACTCTTAAATTTTATATTAATAAGCAAAATAAAGGTTTTGAAGATTGTTGCTAGATTGCTGTTGCTGGTTTTTATGAGGTGGTGTTTAATTTCATGGTCATATTGCAGATGCTGAATCATTTTTTTCCATTTTGTTTGATCTATATTTTAATGTGTAAGCCACTTTGAATTTGATTTTAGCACAGCTAAGTGGGTTATAAATGTCCAAATACATGATACAACACATCTCTCTCTCTCCCCATCGGCTGCTGTTAAGCTGGGGGGGGGGATGTTCGTCCAACAGAAGCAATTCCATGCACCTCCATCTTCTGCTCCAGCATAGAGATAGGTCTGGAAATTCATTATTTTCTTATGCCTGATGATACCAGAATGAGGGATTCAATGAAGCTTTTGAGAGGTGGGTTCAGATTTTGTGCAGTATAACTTCATGATTGAAGGAAAGACTTTCCTTGTTCACCAAAGCCTCTCCCTGGTAACAGGAGCGGACTAAATCATCATAGCCTTATCCACTGTAGAGAGATCTTGTTTTAGAAGAGTACTTTATATGCAACAGGTTATTTAAGTTTGTTTGCACCTTAAACATTAACACTTTTTTAAAAAGTTGACTATTCCAAATATATTGAATTGTAGGACTTGGAGAGGAACCTTGAGCTCAGTAATAGCAGTTTTCAGAGACAACTGCATTCAGAAAAAAAGAAACTGCATGAAGTGCAGGAAGAAAATAAAGTATATCAAGAGGAAGTGCAACGACTTAACCAAAAATTAAAGGTAAAAATGCAGATTTCTAGTATCTGTTTGTAGAGGTAATTCTACCATAAAATTCAGTATTCTTAAGAGAATAACTTTTTGTACAATTCTTGCTACTCATTGACAATACTCTGGTTTTATTGAAATCATTCCTATGGAAATAGAGATGAAGAATCAAACAGTGGTCATGTAATTTAAAGTGAGATATAATTTTTTTCTAAAGTGGAGATGGTCCTGTAATTGGACAAGGGCTGCAGTATGATTTTGCCTATTTATAATAATCTGTTACGAGAGTCTTACTTGGAGGAATAATATGGGGGGGAAAGCACCTTACTATTATGGCATCCTCCGTTCCATGGGTTGAAAGCACATGGGCCTCAAGACGTTGGTCTGCAGGTCTTATGTGTCTTAGTCAGAAGTGATCAAAACCAAGGGTTCTAGTGGTCAAACCCATGGCCTTTCTGTAATGGCAGCCCAGCCCCAACATTTTTTTATTGTGCCCCAGTGATACACCTTTAGAAAATATGTCTCCCTCCAAAATAATTGAAAATGTCTTGTCTGAATACTTCAGTGCACTGATACACAAAATGAGTACTGAATATTTTTGCCCAGAGTGGGATTTGATTTAAATCACACTTTAAATTAGAAAAATCAGATTTTTAACAATTTAAATTTAAATATCCCGCTTTTGCCAAGTACTACCCAAAATATTGTGCATCGATCCCCTCATCCAGTTGTTCCTACATTTTCATGTTGGAGGGTGCAGTGTCAAGCTGTCAACATTAATTGTTACAGAAATTGTTACAACCCCAGCCATGCTCGGACTCCTGGGAGGGTGGGGAATTATTTTGGGAAGTTTTTTGACAATTTACTTCATACTATTTCCACTTTTTTATCAGGAGAAAGAGAAGGAACTAGATGCAAAAAATATTTATGCTAATCGAATGTCAAAAGTTTCACCCAAAAAAGATCCTGATATTACACCAAGGAAAAAAGGTAACTTTCTGAAGTTAAAACCATGAAAGGTTTGCTTCGATCAGTTCTGCACTTTTAAACTTGGATATTATGGTATATATTTCCAGTATTTAATTGTTTAGAAAGTAAAATAATCTTTGAAAACTGAAGCCATGTATATTTAGCTTGACTAGAGAAGAATGCAACCAGTAGCTGTCTCAAAAAAATGTATTTCTCTTTAAGAGCTTGCCTGGGTGTTAAGATCACAAGGGGAGGGAGGCCTTTCTATCAGTCTCACCACCATCAAAGGTCCGCTTGGTGAGGACATGGGAGAAGGCCTTCTCTGCCACTTCTTCCAGGCTCGGGAACTCCCTCCCACAGGAGGCCAGGTTGGCCTCATCTTTGCTGTCCTTCCACAAGCAGGCAAAGACCTTTCTCTTCAGGCCTGTTTCCTTAGTGACTGGGAGGAGACAATAAACAGGATGATTTATATTTTGTTGCTTCTAAATCTATTTTTTGTATAGCTTTTATCTCACATCCTTAATATAACATTATTAATTCTTCAATATTTGAATAATGTACTGTTTTTAGCTTTTAATGTTGTGCTTTTAATGATGTAAACTGCCTTTTTAAGGAGAAAGGTGAGGTAAAAATTTTTTAGATAGATTAGATAGATAGATAATTAATTTCTGGTGTGGATTGCCATATCAAAGAAACCTCTTGAGTTTTAAATATGTAATTATTCATGATGGGAAATGAAAAATCAAAAACAAAAAGCTAAAAAACAAATAAACCCTCAAAAGATCCATCATTTCCCCTATATTATTTGAAATTATATTACACAGTTCCTAAAATGGGTACAAACTGTGTTAGGTTATGTAAACATGGAAAGAATGGTGGTTGTAGGTTTTTTGGGCTATCTGGCCATGTTCTTGAGGGTTTTTTTTTCTTCTAACGTTTCACCAGTCTCTGTGGCTGGCATCTTCCGAGGACAGGAGTCAGAACTCTGTGCTCTGGTGCAGTTTGTGGGATAGTTGAGTATGTATAGCTGTGGGATCAGCTTTTTGTCCTTTTCAGGAGATTGGGCGATTATGGTGATCAGCCTGTTTATTGTTGTGGGTGTATTGTTATGATAAGGGGGAGAGATGATCTGTCACTGTGATTGTGTCGTTAGCTGGTCTTTTGTGTGGAGTCATCACTGCTCCCTATGGCTGGGTAGAGTTTGTTGACCTTCTGCAGGCTGTGTTTTTCAGTGCTGGAAGCCAGGCTTTGTTGAGTTTTAGACTTTCTTCTTTTTTGTTGAAGCTCTGCTGGTGGATTTCAATGGCTTCCCTGTGCAGTCTAACATAATGATTACTGGTGTTGTCCAGTAATTCTGTGTTTTGAAATAGAATTTCATGTCCAGCTTGTTTCAGGGCATGTTCAGCTACTGCCGATTTTTCCGTGAAAGTCTTCAAGAATACACAAAAAGAACTGTTTTATTTAAATAAGTCTAGTTATTTTTTTAATAAACAGAGCATGTATTCATTGCAGGTGTAAATAAGAATGTTAAAAGAGAAATACAGATAACGAAAGGAGTACAGACCACTGGATACTTTTCCCCAATAGAGTTTCCTTTGCCACCAGACTTCATTACTGATGAAATTCCAGAGGAAAAGGAAAATGATGCACATCTTGTAACGGTGAGTTTTATCTGTGAGTGAGACTAAATTTGCTTAAAGCTAACTAAAATTAAGGCAGAGATATTAATCAGTAGACAAACTACTAACATGAAAGAAAGATTTGGTAGGCAGGAATGGGGCTTCTTCTTGCTTACAGTCTGGAGCTCACGTGCTTTTTAATTCCACACAAAACTCTTCAAGCATAATCTTTTGCTTTGAAAATTCTGTGGTTTGGATTCAGGCAATGTACCCAGGAAGAAGTGATGTTCTTCCCTAATTCTTTCTTTACTTCTGCTTCCCCCACCTTAAAGCCTGTTATATAGATTGGGGGGGGGGCAAGTGAGTGGTGTAGATTGTGGCATATGGGGCCTGAGGTAAAGACAGATTTCTGAAACTTGGACAGTGGTATATCTTCCCTTAGCATGAAAAAGCCGCTTTCTTCCATGGACTCCTAAGTGCTTGAAGATACGATTTGACTTAGCATCTCTCAACTGTTTTCAGCAACAGTGTCAGGTCCAGGAAGTTACTGTAATGCAGGAAGCAAGTGCAGAAGATGATGAAGATTCCCCCTGAGCTTCAGGAAATGCCATCTGTATCTCTGACATTTCCCCCAATAGTTTCATCTGTGATTCTCTTTTCCATTGGACCAAGAATCACTATGGTTATAATTCAGTGGCAAATCTGCAGTTAATGGAAATTAATATAAGTTTATTGAACTGATTTTTTTTCTAACATAGCTTTATCCAAATACCGTTTTCACAATCCTTCCATACGATATTTAATTTCCTTAAGGAACAAATAGTTGAAAAAGACTGGAATGGACAAGCAGAACATTTCCAACAGGAAGAGAACAGTGAAAGAGAAGAGCAACTGAAGAGTGATCAAGAGCTTCAGGTTTTGGAAGAGGGAGCCAAGAAACTAAAATATGGTAAGAAAAGGCACTCAGTTTCCTAGCCTCAGCTGAAACCATGTAACACAGGTTATTACACTTGCACATGCCACATGTATAGGAATTCATGCAAATAAACATGAATTTTAGTTTTTCTCTGAAAATATTGAAATACAGTACATGATTCTCACAATTGTTGTCATCTATACTTCTAAGGAGACTGATTATTCTCAGACTGTGAAAAAGAGCCCTTTTATATTTTATAAGAGTAGAAAGATAACTTTAATGTCCGTGTGTCATTTTGTTTTTCTTATCTAACAGTTCCCTTTTGTCATTACATTTACTTTTGTAAGTGGAATGCTAGGCTAGAATATAGGAAAATTAAATTTTGCGCAGCCCCCTCCAGCTCACTTTCCTACCAGACCCACATGCTGGAGCAAATAAGTTGTTGCAGGACCACCACATTCCCTCTTCCTCAGTTATGTTTTCTTAATCCCCCATCAGTTATCTAAAGCAGCTGTTTTCAGCAGAGGCTATATGGCCCCTGCGGGCCACAGACCGGAAACAATTCTTTACATGCCATCTTGCAAGGTTTGTTATGCATCTTATACAATCCTGACTTGGCCTATATTTCTTTCATATTGTGTTTATGACTTTGTGCAAAAAAGGCTTGAGAATGGCTGTATGTCCAGCTAAATGCTATTGTTGGCCGAGAAAAGGCTACAGAAGAGTTTGAATTCTCTACTAATCATTAGAAAGTTTTAGTTGTGTTCTTCACATTTGCTATATCATTGTGTGGGGGCCTAGATATGAATAAATGGCAATGAGCATCCTAATTCTTTTAAATCTTACAAAGTTCCAGTGAAGTAGTAAATGTTCAGGGCTTTCCACCTGGCCCACAAATTTCAGGATGCATACACTGAACATTTTTATTGCCTTTGTTGCATGGAATTAGAATTAGATAAAATGTAGAACTGAATTATACTTGCATTTATTGTTTGTTCATTTCTGTTCTGTCTTTCTCCTGGTGATAACCAGTTATAGACTGATATTTGGAACTTAATATATTCTGTCACACTCACATGTAGTTCATCTGTTTCCAATAATAGTTTTATCAATACTTCAGGTTATTGTTATGAGTGCATGTAGTTCTTTTTCAAAGGTTGTACAATGATACCTGTTAAAATTGAATTTATATAATTGTTTGCACTTAAAGGAACATAGACCTCTGTGAAATAACTGTTTCTTGGGTCATTTAAAAACACTTAGGAGTTTTACACCACCAAGAGATGTGATTAATGTGGTGAATGAGCCAGTTTTGCACGTTAGCAACTTATTTGTGCTCCCAAGAGCACATGTGGGTCAGTGGCAAAGGCATAAGTACCCAGTGTGGTATACTGGATAGAATGACAAGCTTAAACTCAGGAGACCTGAGTTTGCAACCCTGTTCAACTAGAGAAATGTTGGAAAACTGGAAAAAAACACTCCTTAAATATCTCATTTGCCTTGAAAGCAAGGTTCCTGCAAATCTCGTCAAGCGTGTGTGTGCGCACAACTCTGCTTCCCTCCATGCAGCTCTCTTCCTTCACCACACAGCGATTCCGTTAGGTTATGGTTGCAATAGAACACAGTGCATGGAGGGCGGAGTTGCGCAGACATGCAGGGGCGAAGCCATGCGAAAGGCAGAGCCTTGCCCAGTGGGGCTGAAAATTAGAGGGTATGTTGCTTGAAATCCTTATTAATGTTTCTATCTGTTAGTTTTGACTTGATGGCACGTAGCCTAACATAAGACCTGGGCTGGAGGGCGCACCAGAACCAAAATCCACTTCATGGCCATGTTCACACTCTTTCTCTTTAGCACATTTATGAGCAGGATATGAGTGTGGAGTTAATGATTAATCTTAACTTCTGTACAGATGTTCCTCCCACCATACAGAGTGCACTCCTGTTTGTTCATCAGATTGATCTTTGGCAGGCTTGTGGGCTCATGAGATTTATCTATGGTGGTTAGCATGCAGAGATCAGTCACCCAATGTGCCATCCTCCTGGGAGCACACTCTTCATCAAATGACAAAACAGGTGCTTGATGTGCTGGATATGATTTTCAAGGCAGGGTGGCAAAAACCAGATGCAGGGAGAGAATTCACTGCGAGGATTGATTATGCCCATGGATTGCCTTCATGTGGTTTCATAGAATCATAGAAAAGTGAAGTTGGAAGGGGCCTACAAGGCCATCAAGTCCAACCCCCTGCTCAATACAGGAATACAATCAAAGCATATCTACCAGGTGATTATCTAAGTTTTTCTTGAATGTCTCAATTCTTGGAGCACTCACCAGCTCCCGAGGTAACTGGTTCCACTGTCATACTGTTCTAATAGTTAGGAGGTTTTTCCTTATATTCAACCGAAATCTGGCTTCCTTTAACTTGAGCCCGTTGTTGCGTGTCCTGCACTCTGGGATGATTGAGAGCAGATCCTGCCCCTCCTCTGTTTGACAGCCTTTCTTGATATTTGAAAGTGCTCTCGTATCACCTCTCAGTCTTCTTTTCTCAAGGCTAAACATGCCCAATTCTTTCAGCCTTTCCTCATAAGGCTTGGTTTCCAGCCCCCTGATCATCCTTGTCACCCTCCTCTGAAATTGTTCAAATGTGTTAGCATTCTTCTTGAAGTGTGGTGTCCAGAACTGGACAATACTCAAGGTCAAGCCTAACCAGTGCTGAATAGAGGGGGACCTTGCGGGATTTGGAAACTGTACTTCTATTAATGCAGCCTAAAATAGCATTTGCCTTTTTTGTAGCCACATCACACTGGTGGCTTATATTTAGCTTGTGATCTACGACAATTCCAAGATCCTTCTCGCTCATAGTTTTGCTGAGCCAGGTATGCCCCATCTTGTAACTGTGCAATTGGTTTCTTTTTCTGAGGTGCAGTACTCTGTATTTATTCCTGTTGAATTTCATTCTGTTGCTTTCAGCTCAGTGCTCCATCCTTTTGTTTCTGTCTTCTAGGGTATTAGCTATTTCACCCAATTTGGTATCATTTGCAAATGTGACAAGCATTCAGTGCACTCCCTCATCCAAGTCATTAATAAAAAATATTGAAGAGCACTGGGCCCAGGACTGAGCCGGGGTACCCCACTTGAGACCTCCTCCCAGTTAGAGAAGGGCCCATTAATCATCACCCTCTGAGTACACTTCTGTAGCCAACTGTACATCCACCTGACACTTGATCTATCCAGCCCTCACCTAGTTATATTGCTAATCAAGAGATCATGGGGCACTTTGTCAAAAGCTTTGCTGAAGTCAAGATATACTACGTCTACAGCATTCCTTCTGTCTATCAGGGAGGCGACCTGATCAAAAAATGAGATCAAATTAGTTTGGCAGGATTTGTTCTTGACAAATCCATGTTGGCTTCCAGTTATTACTGCATTATTTTCTAGGTGCTTGCACAATGACCACTTTACAATCTGTTCCAGAGAACAGATTGGGGATTGATGTCAGGCTGACTGGCCTGTAGTTTCCAGGTTCCTCTTTTTTGCCCTTTTTGAAGATAGGGACAACATTGGCCCTCCTCCAATCCTCTGGCACCTCACCCGTTCCCCATGATTTCAAGAAAATAATGGATAGCGGTTCTGAGAGTTCTTCAGCCACTCAGGAGACCTGAGTTTGGTGTGGCTTGTACAAGCTTTGGCCTTCTGTAGTGAAATACCATTTTCTCCTTCAGGTTTGATCAGGAAGGGACTTTCAAAGTTTCCATTTTAGTTGGTCATTGTGCCCTATGTTGTACAAACTGGGAACTGTGGTTAACATGAAACTGTGTTTAATTTCAAGCTGACTCGCTAAACCTAACTGTAATTCATGTTAACCACAATTTATTACACCAGACAACATACTTCAATTAAAGAAAGGTATAAATTCGAGCTTCTCAAATCATCCTGCCCCACTACCTATGAAGGAGGAGAGAGGTGGACACAACGCAAGGTTGACTATAGCTTGTGTATGCCTTGCTAAATACAGACTAAAGCAGGGGTGAGCAATGTCCAGAAGTACATGGGCCACCCAAGCCCATCCCTTAACCTGGGAAGGCTGCATCTGCTTCCATGTTCTTCAGCTCCCCAAAGTTTTTATTTTTAAAAAGGGTTACAATTTTAAATCTTAATGTTACAATTTTAAAGTGGGGGCAGATGTGCTTAGGGACCCTCAGAACTTGACAAAGTTGTCCCTGTGCTCCTTAGAGGATCCAAGAAGATTTCGTGAGGCAATTAAAAACATACACACACATTTTGGAGCAAGTGAATGCTGCTGGTTGCTCAGCAGCCCTGGTTTAGGATGATGTGTGAATATGTCCAATACTTATTTTAAACTTTGCATTACTCTTGTTTTTTGACAAATAGAATGGGAGAAAGAAGAATTTGAGAGAAAGAAGAAAGAAGATGGTATTTTGCTGGAAAAGGACGAAAAAGGAAAGATGGAGACAGAACTACATAATCTGGAAAATGGAACACAAAATAGTGATATTGCAGAAGCAGAAAGACAGAAGGAAATTCTGCTAGCTAAGATGCATGAAATTGACAGAGAAACTCAACTCAATATAAGGGCTGCTTCTCAAGACTATAACACAAACTCAGTGACAGTATCTTACTCCTTGGACAAAAGTAAGGGACAGTACCAATTCTCTGGGACAGCGGAGAAATTACTTAATGGTTTTCAGGAATATGACCAGCACAGTTCTGTTCTAAAAGGAGAAACCCGGAAACAGCAAGTTACACAGACCACGTACAGTGATTTGACATTTGGTAGCTATGTGCCTTCCTTTGGGAAGGTGTCAGGAAGGCCAAGTTTGCTTAATCAGAAAAATGACTTCCTGGATGAATTCCCTAAGGAAGATGTAAGTTTTGATACGAAGAGGGACAGGAAATCTAATTTAATGGAGCAGCTGTTTGGAAGTAGTGCCAATACAATTAGTCCATCAAAGAGAACTGATTTGGGTGCTTTCAGAGAGGACAGTGCTACAAACAATGCTTTTCAGGGTAAAGGCACGAAAGTCCAAGATGAGAGTCATCTTTTCTTTGGTGAAACAAAAAGCTTTAATTCCAAAAGGCACCGACTTCAACACACAACAAGTAAACCGGCTGTCAAGATTCTTGATTACTTGGAAGATGAAGTTGAGGAAGTGCTATTACAATAATTATATTCTGTAAAACTGCTCTATATGTAAATAATGCATATATTTAAAATATTATTTATAGATTTATAAATATTTTGGCTATTGTTGTAAAATAGGAACTGACTGACATGTGCAGGGAGATGAAGATAAATGGTCTGATGAGTGGTCAAGAACAGAACTTGCAGGTGAATGTCCTGAGCAGTTAAAGGTGATGATAGTTAAAGGGATAGTAAGGGCTACCTGAAGAGGGTTACGTTTCTGTATGTCTTCATTCTATAAATGGAATTAGCTCTCATTCTAATTAGAAGCCAGGGTTTTCCATGAGTCATTTGACATGTTCACACTTTAGCAGCACAAATATAACCAAGGAACAAAAATGCTTCAGCATGCCAGCATTAATATAACTCTGTGTATCACCACAGAAAGAAATAGCCAAGAACAGTTATGGGCAGGGCAGGGAGGAGCAGCTGTGAAGCATCTTTCCTCCATCACCCTCTTTTAAATTGTTTCTCTTTGTACTAGGGCAAAGATAGTTGTATCGATGCCTTGGGGACAGTTTCGTTTCTCCCTTCAAGGGCTAGATCAAGCATTTAGTCCTAGCTGGAGGACACCCATCAAACTGAGGGGATTTATGTCAATGTTGACTACACACATCAGTGGATGTACTCTAATGGGAGTAACAACTGAATTTCATCTCCAGTGTGCTAAGTTGCTTGTGTAAGCAAGCCAGTGGATGCTGGAAAAGACAGAATTGCCCCTTCTTGGCCCCCTACTTATCATTGTATGATAGATTGCAATAGACTCACTCTTGCAACCTAATTACTTTCTTGAGGAAAATCAAAACCATGAAGCCATTTCAGTTTTAATAGAAGTACATCTGAATACCACATTCAGTAGAATAGAATGTAGAAGTTTCTAGGAGGGAGGTCCAGATAATTTCATAATTACTACACATTTTCTGTTGAAGTGTTCCTGAGAAAAAGTGTGCTCTATTCAAAGTCATGTAAATTGACCTAGCATTTTCAAAATTTGCCATTAGCCATAACACAGTTACCATATCGATCCCATTCATAAGCCTGCTGTGTTGTAAACTGGTTGTAAAGCATAGTCAGGGGCATAGTCCATTTAATCTAGTGAGATCCTTCAGCACAATACCAGTGCTTAGATATTCCTAGGGAATTGGGCCAAATGTCTCTGTCCTAAAGTTATAAAACTTTGAATGAAACTTTATGGAATGTTTAACTGTTAAACACACAACAAAATAATATTAGAACAAATGTATCTGATGTGTATTCAATACTTTTCTCCCCTCAAATGTCTCCTTGACTTCATTTAGTGAAATAAATTAGAAGATATGTTACATAAGCCTTCTAAAGATCTGGCAATATGATTGGTAAATATGTGCATTTGGCCTTATCACTATTGCTGTTCTGGTCAGGTGTAAAGTAAGTTCATACTGCTCGGTTTGATATGAAACTATTTAAAAACAAGAGCAAAAGAATGGTTTGGCAGCAGTCTAGACCTGTGCTTGTTGACTGAAGCATGAGCTTTCTAACATTATGGCCATTATTATCTTGGCTATAGTTAATTGTCTCAGCCTAGGAAATATAATTTACATGGATTAGGTCCCTCTCAAGCTTTAAAATCACATGCACCAGAATCTATGTGTGGAATTCCTTCCCTCTAAGGCTTTGAGAACTGTAGTTGCCTCAGACATATCAAGAGAGTGAGCCACTTAGTTCAGAAGCAGGGACCATGAGGCTCACCAGTTGCTGTTGGGTCTTCATCTCTCCTTGGCCCCTGTCAATGTGGCCAATGTGGAAAGTTTATGAGCGCCTCTAGAAGGCTGTATGTTCCTCACCCAGTGTAACAGGCAATAATTAGGATGATGCAGAGATGGAAAACGTTAGGGTTTTTGGATAACAACTAGAGATGGGGATATTCATATTCATATACGAATATAATTATAGCCACCTGTGCAGGGTTACTCATATTGATATGCAAATACAAATACCCCCATCTCTAATAACAACATCCAGAATATTGTAGTCAGCCTGGTCACTAGAGTTCTCACTTCCCCTCAAAAAAATAAACAATAAAATTTCTTATCTCCACATAAGGTGGGTGGAGCAGGCCATACACAGATAAAAATGAGATGCCTCTCCCTTCCCACAGCTTCACTTTGTCAGAACCTGCACGCCTTATCTCTTTGTGAAAACAAGGGACATTGAATAATTGCTCATAGATTTCAGAAGAATATTGGAGTTCTACAGTGATAGTTTAAAGGTAGTGGAAAGAAGGAAAACATAGCTACTGCAGAGGCAAGTGCAGAAACAATGCGGTGGTAGAGGCTTCCATTTGCCTCATGATTGTCATGCTCCATTGGTTTTTGCCAGTTTTGGCTTAAATCCAGTTGGCTAGTGTTGATCCAGTGGGACCACTCTACTTGGAGTAGCAGTTGGATTTAAGTCCTGTTTTATTGATTAACTTTGAGATGTCATCTTTGCTTGAAACAAGCTGTAAGTCCAGTCAGCTCCAACCCATCCGATAGTGTTGCCAAATTCTTCAAATTGCTAGTTTGACCTCCAGCCTCCTTGGAACTTTGGCAAAAGTCACGATGGACTCTTAAGAAGACTCTCTGTAATATACTGACTACAGGAAAAGCTACTATGGAGGTTCACTTTTGTAGTCTGTAATAAACAGAATTTTGTACATGCAGGGTTGGGTTTATCAAAAACTTGTAGATACCATCTTGGTGATTGTTTCCAAATGGTCTGCAATATCTAGTCAGAACTTTCTACAACTTTCTTTCAGCCATGAGACAGTTTCTTGACACTGAAATGTAGTACATTTCTAAACCAAATGTAAAGCATTAACATTTTCTCTTTTAATATAAAACAAAGAATTTTATGACTGTAAAGAATATGACTTTTAAAAGGATTATTTTAGGCCTATTTAGTGACTATTGTCTATTACTATATGTATTGATTCAAATATATATTTATTATGCAATGTTAATTTGGTTTTATAGCTTTCTATTTTGTGTAAAAGCTCCACCTAGAACAGTACTCGATTTTTAACAACATGATTTATATTAAAATATTTCTATAATGAATCTCTGTTTAGCATATTTGATTCAAACAAGTGTTTGGACTTTTGCCATTTTGGTTCACATAGATTCCCCTCCCCCCAATTTTATTCCAAGGCTTGAGGATTGGTTAAATTTTAACTCAAGTTCATAATCATCCTATGAGATTCAATTTGAGGCAGCAACAAACCCAAAATACACTAATCTCCCACATACATGTTCTATTGTACATTTCAGTCTGTGGTAGCTTTCATTCTGCCAATAAGGTCTTGCTTCACTGAAGTAGATTGTCCTCTGCTGTCACCATGAGCTAACACCCTGGGTGGGAGACAGGGGTGCAAAAGACCCATAATGTTATCCTACATTTCCAATATGCCATAGCTCTTAAAAATATAACTCAAATGCCCTTCACTTCTGGCCAAAAAAATCAAATAAACATCAGAAAACAAAAAGAAGTAACAACCCATTCACAATGGAGACGGCAAAGATACATTTACAGACTTCATTTTTGCTGGACCAAATGTAACATTCTCCTATTTAAATTACTTCTTTAAATCAGTAATAAGATTTGATTATCTGTGAAGAAACAAGCAGCCTTCAATGATATGGTCAGCTGGCTGCAGGCATGTTGCTAGGATACACAACAGTAGATGTGATTAACAACGCATCCAGTTTGCATAAGAATTCCATTCACATACATATTTGTTTTCTGTCAATATAGCTTGTATGTGGACTCCAAAAACATATTTTGAGTGATGTCTTTTGAACCTTACTGTTATGGTATCTTATTTTACTCCAGTTCTTTGGAAATCGATCAGTTATATCAATCTGGAGTCTCCTCTGAAAAGCCTACATTTAGTGTCAGACAATCCTTAAGAAACATAGAAGATTGGGAAGGGTGTTTCCTCCCCTGAATCTTTTAAGTTTATCTTTTTTGAAACACACATGTAGTAGACCTCGAAGTGTGCAGATGTTGTGGTAACACCACAATCCATCTCTCCCCCTTCTCACCCCCCCCAATTCATTTGCTGTTGATTAGACCTTGTCTGATGGGGACCTTGCCTTATCTCCCATATAATATTCTTTAATAAAAATGGGTACTGTATGTCTGCATGCAGTGATAATGGTTTACTGAGGAAGAGGCAGTGTTGGATCTTGTAGATTGTTTTTCCTGCAAGCAGGATTAACTGAACCAGGAGTGAGTACTGGTGGCCCTCCAACATATTTGGCCTACAGTTCCCATCAGAATTAGCCACACTAACTAAAGACTGAGGCGTATAGGCACAGCAGGCTAAAAACACCTGGAAAGCCACAGGCCCATTCCTGGGCTAAATAACCATTGGTTGGTCAAGGGAGAGACAATCCATATTAGCAGGTTTGGTGGATTTTTTTCTGATTTTTTTTACTTAAAAAAAATAGAAGTACACAAAAGAAAATGGGTAAGGGGAATTTTGATACTAATTTTTTTCTTGATGTCATATGATTGCATATAACTACAACAAGCAAAAAACAGAAATAGTAAGAAAACTACAATATAATTATAGTGTTTGAAAATGCTTTCCTTTTTTGTTCTCAACTTCTTAATTATAGCTTATATTACTCTGATTGCTCAACTTCAAAGCACGGAATGTAATATCAGACTTTCTAATATGCTTACTGTGCTTGTTTTAGTTATGCCAATATCCATAAGTATAATCAGAAATTTACAGAATATTACACATCTTGGATGAAAGTTGAATTTGGCATGAACTTGGACTCTTCATTTCTATCTGGTTAGTAGGGAAAGACATTAAAGATCAAAATAAAACAGAACAACATCAACAAGGAGGATTAGGAATATACTAAGTATCCACCATCGTAATTTTTCCCTATGGCCATTTTTGCTGATAATCTTTGAATGGTTTTTATTTACATAGTTCATTAATAGAGATCTATATAATAGCACAGGCAACTGACCTGATTACCTCCCACCCCCAGAACACACCAGTCCACTTACAGCACAGTGTGCGTGGCCGGTGGCATAATCAGTGAGCCAATGGCAGCAGTAGCTCAGCTGCCGCAGCCCCGTCTCCGTGCTTGCCCAGCCACTCTGCAGCTGAGTAGGGAGACTTGTCCTCCTGCCCTCCCTACTTGCCCAGCTGAGTAGGGAGACTTGTCCTCCTGCCCCCTTGCCAAAAGTGCCTGGGCAAGTAGGGAGATGAGGCTGCAGCAGCCAGGCTACTTCCACGACTGGCGTGCTGACAATGACACCGGCCATGCACGTTGCGCTGTAAGTGGACTGGTGAGTTCTGGGGATGGGAGGTAACCAGCTCGGCCACCCTGTGCTGGTGGGCTTTGCATTCATCTCTAAATACAAACCCCCCAAATCTCTATTCATTAACTTTGCTATTATTGCATACGCCACAATTTTTTCTTTTCAGCTTTCTGTTGTTGGACACTCTTCTGTCTCCCATTTCATTGCAAAGGTTACTCCAGCTGCTGTTAACATATATCTAAATAGGTCTTGTGAGATTCTCTCTACACCATTTGGTAAATCTCTGGATCCACTGGAAATTTCATTTTTATTTTGAGTTTCCACATGTACCATTATCCAACATTTCTTTGTCTTTGTGCAGGTCCACCACATGTGGTAGAAAGTGCCACCTGTCTTTTTACATTTCCAGCAAGCCCCATTGTACTTTTTTACCATCTTTTCTCTATCTTTCGGGGTAATATACCAGCGGCAGAACATTTTGTATCAATTTTCCCTTGAAGCTTGACCAGCTGCAAATTGAATGCTCTTTGTTCACTGATTTTCCCAACATTGTAGCGATATTTCTTTGTTGAAATTTCAGTCCATCAATATTTATTTGTGGTATCCAACCCATTAAAATTGTCGAAATTTTTCATTCATTTCACCATACATACTTTTACTTGCTCTATTTCAGAATCATGTTGTTGTTTAGTTGTTTAGTCGTGTCTGACTCTTCGTGACCCCATGGACCAGAGCATGCCAGGCCCTCCTGTCTTCCTCAGTATCATACTGGAGCAATAATTTATAGATTTGTTCGAATAGATTATATTTATGTTGTAGGTCAATCTTTTCAAATTCTGTCAAGGCTTTTTGTGGAAGAGAGTTAGAGAAAAAAGAGCAAGTGGAGAGTGAGCTGTTCCCTCAACAAGAGACACATGCACGAGATGAAGTGGAGAGAGTGGGAGAGACATTAGAATACAAAGGAGTGAACATGGAGGAAGAAACAAGGAGGAAACTGAAGGAGAAAGGAAAAAAGAGTGGTAGAGACATTAGAATACAAAGGGGTGAACATGGAGGAAGAGACAAGGAGGAAACTGAAGGAGAAAGGAAAAGATTGAGATTTGCTTGGTAGCGGAGAAAGAGAGAAGGAGGCAAGGAGTTGATTTTACTCTGTATGGGTGGAAGATATAAAAGATCAGAGTGGGATGAGACAATTTAGAATACCGAGAACATCAGAGAGGAGAGAGAAGGAAGTAGAACAGGAGAAGGAGAAAGAAACCGAATACAATGTATGAGAGAATGAGAGGACTATTGGAAGACTTTCCCGATCTGAAGACCGGAGGGTTGTTACCAAATCTGGACATTTCCAAAGGAAAGGAGACACAAGTGGACTCTCTAGAATGGATGGTAGTGGTGTATCTGCGAGGTCAAGGTCGCTGGAAGAAGGTGGTCCAACCGGACCCCTCGTTCAACAACTCACCTCCAGAGGGTGACTGGGGCAGACATCCCTGTTGTGAAACCATCTGCATGGTGAGGAGTACACCCATGAGGAAGCCCAACGATTGCAAACGGTTTGGACCAGCCCCTTCTTAAATCCTGTCAGTTGAAAGACAGAAATGTTGTCCACTCAGTATGGGCAGTTGCCAGATATTAGTTTATTTGAACCAGTTGAAGTAATTGTTGATTCTCCACATGTTAAGATCAATAAATCTGTTAATGTTCAAAAAGAGACTCCCTTGTTATTTCCCACCAAAAGAGAGGAACTGCTCTCTTGACAAACCGAATCACACTTTTATGGCTCCTTTTCTGGTACTAAAATCTTCATTTAGTCTAAAGGCAATCTGAAAGTAAGTTAACCGTTTTACACTTTCCCCTTCCCCTTTTAATTTATTCTTATAAATGTATCAGATTTCCATAAATTATGAAGTCATTATTTTTCCTTACTTGTTGGTCATAATAAGCATCTCTTGGTGACATTAATATTGCAATTGATTGGCTGTTTCTTCTTTTTTAATATCTCCTATATTTTAAATGGGCCATCTCTAATCATGTGTCTTTTGTTTAAAGTTATATTTTTATAGATTGGTGTTTTTAATCAAAAGATAATTATGTGAACCACAGTCCAAATTTGAAGATTCTTATTTTCTGAATCTGTTGTTTGATTTTTTTAAATCCAATCTGTTATCCAGACTAATCCAGCAACCTTGTAGTATAACTTCATATTGGATATTGCCAGACCTCCTCTTTTCTTCTTGTCTTACAGTACCTTATCTTATTTCTTGCCATTCGCAATAAACATTTTAATTCATTTTGCCGATCACTCAAGATATTTTCAGAAACTGAAATTGGGATCATCTGTAACAGAAAATTTAATTTTGGTAACTGGATTTAAAAAAAAAACAAAGAAAAGGTTTTTAAAAAAAATAAATTTGGAAGTATAATCCAGGCCATAAACTTAATCCCTTGGGACAAGATTAATATCTCTTTGACAACCCCCCCACACACACATATCATGATCATTATTTTATCACCTAAATGCGGAATTTAAGGGCAATCATGTAACTGTCCACCCTTCATTCCAGCAAGCTGCCTACTGCATAATCAGCTTCACAACTCATATAAAAACCAATGCAAAACAAACAAAACATGTGGTCAGCAGTTTGCCAGAGTGGGGCAGAAACCTAAATTGCCTGTTCTATATTTAGGAAACAGGATACTAGCCATTGTCACCTACTTCTTGAAGAAAAATCGATCAGATGCTTCAGTTCCTTTTTCCCTACATTCATTCATATCA